CAACGCGCCACATACACACACACACACACACTGACACACACTATATATATTTAAGAGTAATGCATGCAGTATTATTTAAGAGTAATATATATATATATATATATATATATATATATATATATATATATATATATATATATATGTATATATATAAGATATACGTATATGTTGTTGATTATATTTGCAGAGGGATGATGGTGGCAAAAAGGGAGAATATGGGAAACCCTTAAATTCAAAAGGCAAAAGTAGAGCTGCTGCTATGCATAGCCAATCTGAAAAAGTAGGGGTTTTTGTTTCTTACGTATGATGAGTTGCCAATTTTTTTACCTAAATAACAAACATTTTTGTTTATTTTATTCATATTTATATATATTAGAATGTTTTATTTATCATTTATTTTTATTTATATATTAAAAAAAGTTATGACATTATGTATTATATTCATGTATGTACGTTGTTGTCCCAGAAAAGAAGAGAGAAAATTAATCAAAGGATGCAGATATTGCAGAAGTTGGTCCCAAATTGCAACAAGGTACGCAACAAATCTTTTAATTCGTATCAAAGATATATATATATATATATATATATATATATATATATATATATATATATATATATAGGGGCAGACCCATGTGTAAGCTTGGGGGCTCCCTCTCCAGCAGAATTATTTTTTTACCAATTTTCTGCTCTTTTTCAAAATTTGATTTGGTATTTATCGATTTGTTATATGTATATTAAAATAAACAAAAATATTTATTATTATGGATTTAAAATTCTAAACATCACAGTCTTGCATGTGCAGATGCTGTTTAAACTTTAATGTATTAGGTCGTACGTAGAAAAATCAAAAAACGAATTAAACAATTAATTGAAATATGTGGGCCAAATTCTCTAGACTAGAATGATTAATTAATTAATTCCAAGTCTATTCTACTATATAATCCAAGATAATGTTGCCAAAATTCTTTCAATAATTCAATGTAATAATATATATAGGGGCGGAACCAGGGATTGTTCGGTAGGGGGGCGAAAATTTGAGAGAGGTAATGAAAATATGGCGGAGGTTCGGGGGTAGCACCCTCAAAATATTTTAGGGATATTTACGAAGAAAAAAAAAAAAAGTAATGAGTTATAGATATTGTTGTCAAAACAATATTCATAAACTTGTATAAAATAAATTGTAATATAGTATACATTTAGTTGAATAAGTAAAAGTTTTTAAAAAAAATCAAAATCTTGAAATACATTGAAAACTTTAAATATTGAGAAGCGGAAGAAAAAAAAATACTTTCTTGATTATGTCATTTTTTTTTTATCATACGTTGTAGAGATTAGGGATTGAGACTGTGAAAATATTTGTTTATATTCTAATAATTTAATTTAATTATATAAAAATAATAATTATAAAAAGGAGCAATTTGTTAATTCTATTTGTTGCAGATAGATAGAGCTTCAATATTGGATGATGTAATAGAATATATCAAACAACTTCAATCACAAGTTGAAATGATGTGCTTGATGAACATGCCTTCCTTGGTGATGTTGCCACTTGGCATCCAACCACACCATCTTCAAATATCTATGGTGGATACGGGTTTGGGTATGAGTTCGGGTTCGGGTTCGGGTACGGGTATGTGTATGGGCATGGGGAGACTCGTGGACATGGACACGATTGGCCGTGCCGCCACTATGCCGCCATGGCCACCTGCCATCACTACCTTCATGCCGCCTATGGCGGCCTCATCGGATTTTCAACACTCACCGTTTTAATATTCAATGGAAGTTGTACGTATCGATCAAGTAATAAAGTATATTATTATTCATGCTCGTATGGACATGAGATTTGAATATTATTTTAATTCAATGTTAATAAATAATTACGAATTGGAACATATATATTATTTTACTATGTAATTAATTACTTTTGACATGGCATTTCTTAGTCTTTGAGATGCTACACCTGGTCAAATATACCCGGTAAATGTTAATCGTTGATGTAGTGAAATAACTTCCCACTAAGCACACATACACATGGATGTGTGTGATTGTGTGCAGATCAACGGTTAATAATCACATGATATATTTCACCAAGTGTAGCATCAAACAAATCGCATTTTTTTTTGTCGACATTGTTTTGAAGTTTCCAAAAAAGTTATAAATAAATGTGAAGACTTCGTTTTAAAATCAAATCAATTCGGGCTAGACATCCACATATATATGCCAATTCATTATAATTGAATTACACCTTGTCAAAATAATAATAATAATAATAATAATAATAATAATAATAATAATAATAATAATAATAATAATAATAATAATAATAATAATAATAATAATAAAAATAATAATAATAATAATAATAATAATAATAATAATAATGAAAATAATAATAATAATAATAATAATAATGATAATAATAATAATAATAATAATAATAATAATAATAATAATAATAATAATAATAATAATGATAATAATAATAATAATAATAATAATAATAATAATAATAATAATAATAATAATAATAATAATAATAATAATAATAATAATAATAATAATAATAATAATAATAATAATAATATATAAAAAGTTCGTGAGCTGATTCGAGAGCTTATGAACAACTAAATACGGGCTCAAGCTCATCAGAGAGCTCGTGCTTTTGTCAAGCCAGTTCGTCGAGTTAATGTGTCGAGTCAACTCATTTACACCCTTAAGTAAGATGGGATTTGTAGTAGATACACTCACATGAGCCACTCATTAAATGTACATTTATTCTTTCAAATCAATTTACATTAAAGAAGAAGTTTATTAACAAGATGAAAGAGTTCTATAATGCAATTAAAAAAGAGGTTAATGGATTTAGTCAAATGTTAATCAATGGTTGTAATTAAGTCCCACCATTTGGCACCTAATAAAATTGGCGTTTAGAGTTTCATGACCTAGAAAATTTATACAAAATCAACTATGGTTAATTTTGCATTTATATATTATCCATTTTACCAAATACAATCTACACATAATCGCACGCACCCGTGTGTATGTGTATTTAGTAGGGTTATTTAATTAGATATATGGTTTAAAATCTACCCAGTGTAAATAATCAAATGTAGCATCCAACTTACCGAGTTTATTTATGCTACAAAACTAAGTTTACCGAATAACATTCAAATTTCACTTATATGTGTGATTATTTGTAAATTTAAGATGATATAGTACTATGAAATGTTAAATGTCGTCTAAATTTCAATAATATCGTTTTGACTTTGAACGTGATTTTGACTCTTTCCTAGTTCAATTTTATCAAAATTCAATACACAAAAATTGTAATCCTCTGGGGTAGCTTTCTAACCCGAATTGAATCAACTAGTGCGGATTTCGGATGACAAAGTTATACATAATTGAGTTACATTTTCAATTTTAGATAATTTCAAACATTAAAATTGTTGGCAGTGTTTATTAATTCATGCATATTTTTTTCTCAATTGGATAAGAAAACCAATTTACAAAATTATAGACTACGTGTTTGAAGTTTTGTCAAATTCAACATCCAAAATGGTCAAAAATCACATGTAAAGTCAAAACGATATTATTAAAATTAAAACGGCATTCATCACATCCCGTAAGTATTGAACGGTCGATGCAAGATATACAAAGACTACTAAAATGTACATTAGCACAATATATGAAGATTTACAATATTATTGTCACTAATCATTAGAACTGCCTCAACTAAGATAGATATACATAAAATCAACATTTTTGTGAGTATATTTAATTAAATGGGTCATCAAACTTACCATTTGAACAAGATTTTATTAGCACTTGCATATATATGCAATATTGCCCGAAAATTCCCTCAATTTTCTCATTATTAACAATATCAAAATATTATTTTTCCGTGTAATATAATTACAAAAATATATTATATCTGTAATTTAATTTTCAAGAACCATTATTTAATGAAGGGATAATAATATTAATATGGTGTGTGGTCTAGTAGTACTTATAACTTCAGCCCTTTATTAATATGGTGTGTGGCGTTACAACAATCCCAACAGTTTTCTTCACTTTATTATATAAAAGCAAAATCAGGTTTACTATTCTGACAACTTCAATCTCCTTTTATTCCCCAAATTACCCTTTCAATTTTCACAAAAAATAATATTTTGGGTAAATATTTTTTTGCCCCTGTTGTTTGATTTTTTTGCACATAGCCCCTTATACTTTCAGTATAGCACATGACACCCTTGTATTGTAATATAAGACCATAAATTGAACAGCTCTTACCCCTGTGGTTTGGGCACGTTTGATTGCCAAGATAAAATTAAATAATCTAATAAAACTCAATTGTATTATTAGACCTTTGAAAATCGAATAAAAAACATGCCTAAAAATCAAGATAATGCATGATAACATAATATTTACAGGTCGATCCGACAAGTTATTAGGAATACCAAACATCAAACAAAGTCTCATTATTTAGTTAATCATTGTTAATTTCCCCAACCAAACGACGCATAAAATTAAAGTACAAGGAGATCATGTGCACAAAACTCAAACTTAAGGGGGTCAAGTGCTATTTACCCAAATATTTTTGCTTGTTACAAGAAAGGGCATTTTAGTAAATATAATGATGAACTTGATTTCTTGCATGTTACAAGCATTTGTGCTTTAATTAATTTTTTTTGTTTGTTTGTTTTTCTTATAATATTAATTGCTAATTGCCGTTTTAAAGAAAATATAACTTCAAATACAATCCAGAATCTCGCTTGTGTAATTCCCCTTAATATTATGTGCACACATTACACACACACTGTATCTATATATCTATATCTATATATATATATATATATGTATAATATATATACACACACAGACACAGTACACATGAAAATTTCAGTGGGGTGCGGAAGAATGCTTGTTACCTACTCATAGCACAGTACACACACACACACAAACACACTGACTGTGTGAGAGAGAGAGAAGAAGAAGCAAAAATGGAGAAGCACCACATGATGATGAACTTTTACTCGCCGGAGAATATTTCTCCGTCGTCGGCGTCGTCGTCTTCTTCGTCGGAGCAGGATTCCAGAAGGGTCCGAAAATCCAGCGTCTTTTACTCCGACGAGCGGGAGTTTTTGACAGTGGATAACGACCCGCCTCCGCCGTCGCCGCCGCCGGTGAGTTCTGTGGTTTCGGACACAACCAGCGAAGAAGACGTGGCCAACTGTTTGATGATGTTGTCCAGAGACAAATGGAATAATAATAATAATAGAGAGGAATATTCCGGCGGAATCAAAGTGGTGAAGAAGAGTTTTAAAGTTAGGGGAGGCAAGTACAGATGCGAGACGTGTGGGAGGTTGTTCAGGTCTTATCAGGCGCTCGGTGGGCACAGGGCCAGCCACAAGAAGGCCAGGGCGGCGGCGCGTGGTACGCACGCGCCGCCGCGTGTGGCGGCGCGTGAGGCGGTTGTGGCGGAGAAGGTGCACGAGTGCCCTTTTTGCCATAGGGTGTTTTCGTCGGGGCAGGCGCTTGGTGGGCACAAGAGAACACATTATATTAATGGTGGAAAGGGTAAGCCGCCATTTTCAAGAAGTGGTGAAGCTTTTGGCATAGATCTGAATCTGCCTGCTCCAAGTGATGGTGATGGTGATGATGATGATGATGATGAGATTTAATTAATTAGCTAAAAAAAAATTAAGGAAATTCATATTTTGATTTAGAGGGGAAAGTTTTAACTTTTTTTTTTTTTTTTTTTTTTTGGGATTTGGAGTTGAAAGAATGGAATTATTTGGGTGGGAGAGATTTGGGTTTGACTAAAGAGTTGACTGTAATAGAATTTGTTTTGATCCGAGGAAGAGGATTGTGTTCTTGTTGTTACCATGTAACAAAATAGTGAGATTTTTATTTTATTTTTATTAATAGATAAAATCAGATGAACTGATTTGAAAGTCAGTTTCCTAATTATTAAAGTCCTTTTTTGGATGCTTTTTTACATTTATTTGTGGTTGAATATTTGTGCGTTATGGCAAATGGGATTATACTATTACTTCTTACTCGTCATCTATTATGATGTTAAATTCAATAAAATTTTATGAATTTTGTGAAATATATTTTTAGTTTGTACTCGTTTTGTGCAAACATGCAGTTTTTGATACACCACAATCTGATACTTACAAGCCGCTACACGCATAGTATGATCATCTTGTTCCAAAATCTGGAACTTTATGAGATAAAATTGATACAAACCGAAGAATATTCCACATAATCTAGAATATTCCACTAAATTTGATATTACGAGGGTGGATGTGTAAGAAGATTCATAATTGAGGGAGCTAATTGTAATTATTCAACATAAGGAGTTCTTTCGTAATTTGACCATACCTCAGGGTTGTATGCAATTTACTCTATTATCTAATATATATATATATATATATATATATATATATATATATATATATATATATATATATATATATATATATATTATTTCCCCGGTCTATAATCTATAAAAGACTTTCCAACACTCTTGTGCGAGCGCCCCTCAGAAAGTCAAATAGACACACTCTTATTTATATACATATAGAGAGCGCTTTTCGCTCTGTAAGACATTTTTTTTTATACACAAAAGGGATATATATTTATTTTTAGCATATATACTCATCGCTAAGGGTGAGATATGACACACACAGGCAGAAAAAAAAAAAAAA